TCTTGGGTCATTCTGCGTCTACTCAACAAGAGATTGGCGGTTAAACTTCAGATTTTGATAGTACATAATTTTAAAGAACTTAAGTCGGTCCTCTGGTGCTGTACTGTGGCTGGTTGTGGTTATGTGGTTCTTTAGCCACGAAGGTGAGGCGGAATTGAATGCAAGAGGATGATAAATCACTTTATAGACCTGTGAACAATTTCTCCCCCTCAATTCTGAAATGATGGCTATGCCCCTGCACTTAGAAACAAGTTTCCAAGCCAGAAACATATGGGTTAGAGTCTTCTCTAGGAGCAAGCCAGTTTCCTATAGTTTCCCTCAGTCCTTGGTCCGATAATCAGCATAATGTCACATTTTGCATTTTCAGCACCAGAAAAGCGTTTTGAGAGGATGTTGTATCTTACGCTGTGGCTTTCGATCAGAAACACTTAGAAACAAGTTTCCAAGCCAGAAACATGTGGTTTGGAATGTTGTCTAGTAGCAAGCCAGTTTCCTATAGTTTCCCTCAGTAGTTGGCCAGACAACAGCATAATGGCACATTTTGCGTTTTCAGCACCAGAAAAGCGTTTTGAGAGGATGTTGTAACTTAAGCTGTTGCTTTTGATCAGAAACACTCAGAAACAAGTTTCCAAACCAGAAACATGTGGTTTGGAATATTCTATAGTAGCAAGGCAGTTTCCTGTGGTTTCCCTCAATAGTTGGTCAGAAAACAGCATCATGTCACTTTTAGCATTTTCAGGCCCCGAAAAGCATTGTGAGAGCATGTTATAACTTAGGCTGTTACGTTTGACCAGAAGCACTCAGAAACAAGTTTCCAAGCCAGAAACATGTGGTTTGGTGATTTCTATAGTAGCAAGGCAGTTTCCTGTGGTTTCCCTCACTAGTTGGTCAGAAAACAGCATCACGTCACTTTTAGCGTTTTCAGGCCCCGAAAAGCATTTTGAGAGCATGCTTTAAGTTACGCTGTTGCTTTTGATCAGAAGCACTTAGAAAGAAGTTTCCAAGCCAGAAACATGTGGTTTGGAGAATTCTATAGTAGCAAGGCAGTTTCCTATAGTTTCCCTCAGTAGTTGGTCAGAAAACAGCATAATGCCACATTTTGCGTTTTCAGCACCAGAAAAGCGTTTTGAGAGGATGTTGTAACTTAAGCTGTTGCTTTCGATCAGAAGCACTTAGAAACAAGTTTCCAAGCCAGAAACATGTGGTTTGGAGTGTTGTCTAGTAGCAAGCCAGTTTCCTATAGTGTCCCTCAGTAGTTGGTCAGAAAACAGCATAATGTCACATTTTGCGTTTTCCGCACCAGACAAGCATTTTGAGAAGATGTTGTAAGTTACGCTGTTGCTTTTGATCAGAAACACTTAGAAACAAGTTTCCAAGCCAGAAACATGTGGTTTGGAGTATTCTCTAGTAGCAAGCCAGTTTCCTATAGTTTCCTATAGTTTCCCTCAGTAGTTGGTCAGAAAACAGCATAATG